GCGGGGTATGTTTAGCCTGCAGAAGAGAATGCTAAGGGACATGCTAGTTAAATATTTGAAATGATGTCACACTGGGGAGGCAACAAGCTTGTTTTCTGCTGTTCCAAGAACAAGGACACAGGTTAATAGATTCAAATTACAGGAAAAGAGATTCCACCTAAATATTAGGAAGAATCTCCTGGTGATAAGAACTGTTCAAGAATGGAATATGCTGGCTTGGAGTGTGGCTGAGAGCCCTCCACACAGCCATATAACCCAGAATTTAAAGGCACATAATCCACAATATCTGCTTTGAATTGGATTACCTGAGTCCACACTGCCATATAATGCAGTTCAATGTAGATTTTATACAGCTGTGCAGAAGAGGCCTGAGTCTTCTTTGGAGGTTGTTAAACTGAGGCTGGATAGCAATCTGTCAAGACTGCTCTGATTGTGTATTCCAGCAAGGCAGGGAATTGGACTCGATGTCTCTTCTGGTCCCTTCCACCTCTGATTCTAAGATTCTAAAGCAAGATAGTATAGGTGTATCCAATTATACAACCATGGCAGTTCAATATCCCTTGACTTGTCATAGCTCAAGCCTAAAGAATGCTGGAATTTAATAAAGTACTTTGAATTCGCTAGACAGCTCTCATAAACTTTTACCCACAACCCCATGATACCCTAAGAAGACAAGTTCCCATGGCACCCCAAGAAGACAGATTTAGGATAATCAGAATATTTTGGAGAAAATATTTCATAAAAATGAACTAGAGCTCTCTAGAAAAGAATCCCAAGTAAGTAGTTAAAATACAAAACCTTAGGCTACACCATGACAGTTAGGAGCCCTTGGTGGCACAATTGGTTAGACCCTTGTGCTGGCATGACCGCTAAGTGAAAAGTCAGTGGTTCGGATCCGGGGAATGGGGTGAACTCCCACCTGTCAGCTCCAGCTTCTTATGCGGGATATGAGAGATGCCTCCCACAAGATAATAAAACATCCAGGCATTCTCTGGGCAACGTCTTTGCAGATAGCCAATTCTCTCACACAAGAAATAACTTGCAGTTTCTCAAGTCACTACTGACACCAAAAAAAACCTCATCGTGACAGTTAAAGTGATATCAGACTAATGCAACGTAAGGGGATTTGTATTAAATTCACTCTGAGCAAAATATTAGTGTTACACATGTTTCTCTTTCTTCAGGCACTTGTTAGAAGAGAGATCCATACACTCTCCCACTCATAACCCAAATATTGAACTAAGTTTGGTTATTTCAAAAATCATTGATCATTAGTTAGGACCTGTTCCTTCTGGTCCTTCCTACCTCATAAAATTCCATTTCCCTAGTCTCTCACACATATGTTTTGCTTATAATTCCTGTATCCCAGAGATCTTTAAAGTATATCACATTTGGAACTAGAACACTGCCCACCTGCTGAGGCATGAATTGCCTGAATTGCAAAATTCAACAATGTATACAACCTGACAAAACCTAATGGTTTCCTTGCTTCCTGACCTTCATTAGCTATATTTGCTTTGCCTTAGTTTTAGCCATACGTTTTCTGCATATCTGCCTATATATCCTTCCTCTTACATCTATATTTTGAACTTTCTATCACAAAACCTTTGTCAAGCCAGTGTCTACCTTGACCAATTGCATTATATTCATTTTTTAAAAGATATATTTCAAATTGTTATAAATCCTAAATTCCCGGTCTTATTTTGAAACAAGAACAATGCAACAAACTATCCAGTTGCTGTGAGTTTTCCAGGCTGTATGGCCATGTTCCAGAAACATTCTCTCCTGAGGTTTTGCCCACATCTATGGCAGGCATTCTCAGAGGTTGTGAGGTCTGTTGGAAACTAGGTAAGTGAAGTTTAAATATCTGTTGAATGTCCAGGGTGGTAGAAAGAACTCTTGACTCTTTGAGGCAAGTATGAATGTTGCAATTGGCCACCTTGATTAACACTGAATAGCCTTTGACAACACACAATATATCCAATACGCAAAGTCTCTCATAATATGCTTACTCACACCATGACATTAATAAAGTTGCACTATTCATATCATTGAGAATGTTGCTGCCCAGTTACAAACTAGGCAGCAAATTGTGGGACATTAAAATATCCCAAAACTGAAGAGTTTGCATTTGCTGAACAGTATACTGTATTTAAAACAGCTAGACATCCACAGTCAGAAAACACACTGTTACAGGAAGTGCGTTTTTTTTGTTATTAAAGGCAAATTTCAAAAAAACAAAACATTAAACACAGTGCTAATATTATAGAACACCAATGAAATCCAGTATATCATACTTTTCTGTGCAGGTACCAGAGATGTGGGGTGAAAAATTGCCGTGTGCTGTATTTTTCTGTGGTTCTTTTCCCACAAAAATACATGCCACTGCTAATATGTTACATTGATTGGGAAGGCACCCTAATAACAAAATTTAGTAGAGCTATGGTGACATGCATTTTTTGTTTATGTAAAGCAAAAAGTAAACAGGAAGTGGCTGAAATTTAGGGATATTGTTCTGTACATGTAACAATGACTTAGAAGGACTGCGTGAATCTACACCTGTGTAAATCTGCAACAAACTCTACATCTAAGAGATTAATATATCACAAAATATTTCCTTATAAGATTGCTACAGTCCTTACCAGTCTGTTAAGAAAGAAAGTTTTAAGGTCTTCCACTTAAAACTCAGAGGGAAGAGAAGGTTTGGGTTCAGGTAGATGATGTCATCTCAAGAGATCCAGGACACAGAATATTTGGGACAAAGGTCTTCTAGATCCATCCCTAATGATGTCATCAGCATATATTGAAAACCCAGTTCTTAAAAAAATGTAAATAGGAGCAAGAATTCCCTATCTTTTTGGAAATCCTCCATAATTACTTAAAATACACTGATCCGGATGCTTGGTGTAAACAATCTCTGGTTGTACCAGGAACCAACAGAAGATATTCTGGGATAAACAAAATGTGTTTGGATCTCCAGAACAAAATCAGATGGAACAGGAACACAATTATATTTTTGAAAACTTTTTAATAAGTTTGGATGCAGCCTCAGTATAAAATCAGAAATAAAAGGGAACAAACTGTGATTATCTGCCCTTTCTCTTGTGAAATCCAAGAGCAGTCCCCCCCCCCCCCTTAGAATAGATACCATTTCATTTCTTGGAAGGCAGCAAAATATATGATGTCAAGGGCAAAGAGCTTAAGACACTAATAAAAGTTACACACAAATGTTTGTCTCAGCATATATTTTTAAACAAAAAAGAAGCAGCAGTAGAAGGTTATGTTTAATCCTTTTTCTACTTGATTCCACATTGCCATTACAGCAGTGTTATCTCATTAACTCTCATGGCTCCATACTCTGGGAATCCTGGGATTTATATCCCAGAATGCTCAAAATTATTTGCCATAGAGAAATCATTCTCTAAAGAGAGGTCTACTATACGTTTCCCAGAACTACACCACTATAAGTCTCTGACTGAAAATTCTAATTCCCAAACCAAACCACAAATTCCAGTGTTCCATAGGTTGAAGCCACAACAGTCAAATTGTTTTTAAATTGCTATAACTGTAGCGCAGATACATTGCCTTTGGGACTAATTCACGCTGTAGAATTATAGCACTATATTTCCACTTAAATTATCTTAATACCACCCAATGGAATCTTGGAATTTGAAGATTAGAGAGGAGCATTTAGAAGTGCTTTAATCCCTTAGCAGATTACAAGAGCCAAGGTATCATAGGATGGAACCATGGCAGTGGAATAATAGTGCTATAACTCTGTAGTGTAAATGGACCCTTGACTCATGGTAAGCTATGGGCAGAAGGGTAAGAATTGCCAGAATTTATTTGGTTCAACTCCCTAACAAATGGCCTGTTGACTCACATTGGCTCTTATTATTTTCTGCAGAGAAGAAAATAGTCACTTCATACTTAAGCCTATGTGACCAAATTAGGTGATTAATGTATTGTCGAAGGCTTTCATGGCTGGAATCACTAGGTTCTTGTGGGGTTTTTCGGGCTATAGGGCCATGTTCTAGAGGCGAAACGTCAGGAGAAATGCCTCTAGAACATGGCCCTATAGCCCGAAAAAAACCACAAGAACCTTAGGTGATTAATTTTATTATTTATTTATTTATTTACTTGCTTCATTTCTACCCCGACTTTCTCAACCCCAGAGGGGACTCAAGGCAGCTTACAAATCTACTTTGTCTAATAGTCCTTTCTATGTACTAGCCCACAGGTACAGCCCTCCACATTTGTGGGTTTCATCTTTGCCGATTTGATTGTTTGCAGATTTTATTAAAACGTTATCTCTAGGAACCAATGGGTTCTCCAGTGCAAGTTATGGTCCACTTCCACTGGAGCCATGCTGGGGGATCTAGATATTCCTAGAGAGGGTTCTCTCAGTTTTAAAAAACAACAGTCTCTAAATCCATGTTTTTCACTTTCATGGGTGCCCTGTGCCCCTAACCCCCATGAATGTGACATGTTTATTGTATTTTAGCACTTGAAAGTGAAGACTTTCTGTATATATTTCAGATTTCAATATTAATGTCAAAAATACATAGTATGATTTTACATAGAATTTTTGCTACATTAGAACAGTAGAGACAAATATCACTTAAGTAAAATAAACATTAAATATTAAATAACCAGAAAAAATAAAATAAGGTGTAAATACGAAACTAATCTGGGAATCTGCTATTGCAACACATCCAATGAAGTGGTTTAAAACCAGAATAAAAAAAGATTAGGACTAAGTACGTTCCAGTCTTAATCCCAGAACTGTTCAGCATTGCATATAAAGTCATGCATTTCCCATTGTGTGGGGAACATGTCTTTATTAGTCTTCATTGCCTGATAGCCTGGAAATCTGTGCCACCTTCCTCTATGTAAACCTTCCTTCCCAGCAGCTCATAGGTTCCCTCCCCTGTGTGCTCACAGCATAAGGCTGGCTACTCATGCACACAGGAGAAGTCCCTCCCAACCCAGGAGCCACAGTGTGATGCTGCTCCCTAACGCCCAGACTTCAGGCTTCTTCCCAGCCAAGCTCAGAGTGCGAGCCTGATTCACTGCATCTAGGTTACAGGCTCCCTCCTTCACATTGCTTGGTGAGTTTGCATGTTTATTCCTGTTTGCTTGTCTGCCTTTTTTGTTAGAGGAGGTGAGCTCCTGCCGCTGCGTACCCTTCTGTACCATTATACCTGGGAGCGGATCAGGTGCATTCGCCCGGCATCTGATCTGGCACCTTCATCTCTCTCTTTCTCTGCAGTTTATCTTTTTTAATCTGAAGTGGAAAGAGTAGGAAGGATGCTTGTTTCAAAGAATTGCAGTACTTGTAACAAGTGGATAGAAAGTTTTAAAATGTGAGCACAATTCAAAGTTACATACAGTTTTCACAACAGTGACAGTGCAGATAATGATCACCATTTCCATGTTTTCTTGGTATGAAAGTAACCTTGCGAGAAGAACTTCTGCCGCTATAAACATTTACATAGGAATTAGAATGACACAGGCAAACATTTCTTAAGAGTAATTTCAATCAGTGAAATAATCCCTCTCAAAGGTACTCTAGATCTGTCTGGAAATAAACAATGTCTTAAAAGAAGAAATTAAAAAGGAAATTAACATTAATAATCTTTTTTCCAGTTTTAGTGATAGGCATATGCATCTATATATCACTCAAGACAAAGATACTTTTCATTTGCCATACCTAAGATATGAGGAGGGAATATCACACCAAAATCCACTGTCACGACTTCAGATTGCTTGGAAAGCTGGTCCTTGCAGTTAATTTCTATGAAGGTGTATTACTTTCACAAGTGTATGCAACTTTGAAATAAGAGTGGAATGTGGTGTTACAATTATCAGACTTTATTAAGAAGGAGCAATGATAGAGCAGCTAGTTAGATGTAGAAGCAGGATTGCTCTTTGGTTAGCTGCTAGTATAAATGCTACACATTCTAAACCGATGCCGATAGTGTCCTTGAAACAGAATAAAATGAACATTTGATCTGCACATTTCTTCATGTTGTCTCCACATTCTACCCTTGAAGAGAACATATTCATAATTTGATATAACTATAATAAAACTTCTGATCAAGTAAAATGCTGCATTTTCTCCAATATAATCTATGATTTAATTTTTTTTAAAAACAGTGCAAAGACTACCAGAAATCCCAACTAGTTTGCCAGCTGTTAGGGTTTCTGGGATTTGAAGGCTAAAACATCTGAGGACCCACAGGTTGAGAACCATTGGAGTATATGATGTGACTCTGAATCCTGAACTGAAAGGCACTTTAGTGTGCATAGGGAACATATTTTGCAATGTTCTGGAACTTAACCCAATTATTCAACCATATTTCCTCAGCCCAGAAAAAATATTGACTAAAAGCCATTTTTCACACTATATATTAGCCAAACAAAGCTCTCCATTATTACACTTTTCACCCTAACTGAAATATGCATCCTTTTCCATCTTTAGATTTAGGATAATAGAGGCTAGAGCTGACATAATTTTCAACCAACAATGAGAAACATATCCCCACAGACAGTGGGACTGCAGCTGCCATCAGTCCCTCCAATGGCATTCTAACCGATGGGAGTTGCAGCCAAGCAACACCTAAAGAGCTGAGCATTCCCTACCTCTGTTTTAAATGACCAGGAACATAGTTACTCCCTCTCCCCCTGAGGATAAAAGGTCTGGTCCTCACAGCTGGTCAGATTTCTGGAAATTTGACTCCTTCAACAGTCTCACACTTTTGAACAATCTAAGGCTGAATAAGGGACCTTCCACACAGCCCTATATCCCAGAATATCAAGGCAGAAAATCCCACAGTATCTGCTTTGAACTGGGTTATCTGAGTCCGCGCTGCCATATATTCCAGTTCAAAGCAGATATTGTGGGATTTTCTGCCTTGATATTCTGGGATATAGAACGGTGTGGAAAGGTTCCAAAAGTTCCTGAAACTGAAAAACTCACAGTGCAGAGATAGATAGGACCCTTCAGAAGAGGCAATACTGAGCTTGATTGCAAATGTTTCTTATTTATTTATTTAAGATCTTTCTGTCCTGCCTTTCTCCGCAACACAAGGCAGCTTACAAACAGAATACAAACATTAAAATCCTTCAATGCATCATTCCGTCTTGCATCATTCTCAAACATTTCTGCAAAAGTTCCACAGTTCTGTTTAATTTTGTTAATTTAGTCCCATGTGGGAGGTGTTTTTGCAAGATCAGAATACTTACGACCTCATTAGATGAGGGCGAAATCATTGGCAAGAGCTAGTTCACTTTTCCCTTTATGACAGAGCCTGCCAGCTCCCATTACACAATACACTGCAACTTCCCCATGCCCCCAGACATGCACCACTGGAATCGCCACAATCTGTGGCAATTCCAGCCGCACATGTGAAGAGTTCCCTAGATTCAGTGAAATTTCTAGGATTGGTGTCATCCACATGAATCTTTCCCCATTCCACCCCATACCACAGTATCATAGCTAAAAACCCAGCAAGTTTGACAAAATCTGTGACTATTAAAAATACATCAGCAATTAAAACAACAGCATGTGCTTGTTGCACATGCAGGTGAAACCATGTCATTGCAATTGGGTAATAATAACACCTTTGAACAGAGTGCAAGCATATTAGAAGGTCCAAAAAAGTAAATTAGCATAAAGTTTTAGTGATGTGGGTATGTTGATACAGTATACGTAAGCTGTTTACAAAAATGTTTTTGCATTTATATCTTACTACAGTGGTGGTTTTTATAAAAAAAATTCTACCGAAACGCTGCACAAAATGTTATGTTAGTGTCACTCCTTCTGATAGTGTCACTTGGCACACACTCACTGCACTCCCCTAGTGACATCACAGCTTAAAGACAAAATAATAGATGCATGAGGAAGCAATAATGGACACATAATAAGAATACGCAAGATCTCTTGGGAGCATTTGAAAGGTCCCAGGGTAAATCAAAATAAAACCCCTCTCAATTTCTTGGAAAGCTTACCTTGGTGCATGGTGTCAGTCGGCTGTGTGTTGCAGCGCCTCATATGTTTGATTCCCTTTCCCTCCTAATTTTCAGAGGTAGAAGGCATGCAGAATGTTTTTCATGGCAAATTTCAATTCATAGAGTTTCCAAATGGCCCATAAATATATCTTGAAGGCTTGTAAATATTTGGTTCAAATAGTTGCAAGGCATGCACTCATCCAGAGATGCTTCACACTATTAATCATCTGATGCTTTAAAACAGAGGTTGCCAACACATGACCTGTGGGCCACATGCAGTCCCATAGCCACTTTCAGTGTGCATTTGTGCCATAATTGCTGTAGGAGAAACACTCTCACATGGAAACAAGATTTATGAAGTCAACATGCTGCATTTTAAAAGGAAAGTCATGCCCCTGGCAACTTCCTATTTATTTATCATATCAGGAGCGAACCAAACAGTTGTATTGTATTATTTTTTAAAACCCCACAAAGTTTGCAAACTTGGCATTCTATTAAATGTTCCTTGACCAGTAGCTGGCCACTTGGAGTGCCTCTGGTGTTGCTATAAGAAGGTCCTCCATTGTGCATGTAGCAGCCCCATTTCTGAAGGTTGGCTCTGCATCTCATGGTGTCAGAGCGCAGTCTGTTCAGTGCATTCCTAATGTTTGTGTCCAGGAGAGAGTCTCTTATTTGGTATCAGCCATCGGTTGAGGTTCTGGGTTTTAGCCTACCACTTTTGGAGTCTCGCTTGCTGAGGTGTTCCAGCAAGTGTCTCTGTAGATCTTAGAAAACTATTTCTTGATTTAAGTCATTGGCATGCTGGCTGATATCCGAACAGGGGGTGGGCCAGATATGTCACTGCCTTGGTCCTTTCACTATTGGTTGCTACTTCCCGTCAGATGTCAGGTGGTGCAATACTGGCTAAATAGGCAACTTCCTAAGAACCCTGTATAAAAAAAATCCTTGTATGGTATTACCTGTGAGCATATTTTGGTAGATTAAACAGTGGGGATTTTTTGCACAGAAAAATCCAGCAAAGAAAATCTAGCAAGAACAAGGTGACTTCTAATCTTCCCAATGTGATTTTCCAAAAGATATCCATTCCTAAATGAAATCTGAGGTCCTCAGAATTTAGACCAGATCACAAGAAAAGTTGAAATGTGCTCAATGGAACTGCTAAGACTGGTTAGTATCCAATGGTGCCATTTAATGACAACAAATGGCATTATATTTGAGAAACATCTAGGTCTACATTGTGCTCAAGGGTGGAATAACATACTTTCCAGTCATACAATAAATTATGATAGCCATAGTACACAGGAGAGCAGTTCCGTGCGGGCAAAAACTTCATTATGTTATAGGCATATCCCTCGAATGCCTTCAAAATACCTTCTTTCCTCTCTGTTTATCAGTCAAAATAATGACAAAAATCAAAGAGAAGGAAAGGAGGCAATTAAGAGAAGGCTTGTGTTTCTGAATCAGTACCTATTCCATCCCTATATGGTGCCAAGAGATTGTCAGAAGCACCTCTGGAAAAAGTGCAAATCCATTTGCTAGGTCTATTGATTACATTCCCTTTTTTGCATTAAAAAAATCAGATATAAAGGCTAGTCCTTGGATCAGAATTGATATCTAGAACAAGATGCACAGCTACTGCTACTATCAGAAGAAGACACTAGATTGATGGTGTCATAAACAAATAAGATATGAATGTATTTTACTGCTTGAAATGGAGAGAATGCTTGCCTCTTGTGCCAAAATAACTTGTCTAGTTTGGGAGTATACACCTTGATTTGGTAGGGTAGCAAAACTATTTTTTATTTTCCACCCAGCAGCAAAATGCCTTGAGTCTGCTCTGCTCAAATCTGCCAATAATCTTTACTCCATACATGGCAACTTCACGTGCATACACAAGTTTAATTTAATGTATTGTCGAAGTCTTTCATGGCCGGAATCACTGGGTTGTTGTAGGTTTTTCGGGCTATATGGCCATGTTCTAGAAGCATTCTCTCCTGATGTTTCGCATGCATCTATGACAGGTATCCTCAGAGGTTATGAGGTCTCTCAACCTCTTAGGATGCCTGTCATAGATGCAGGCAAAACATCAAGAGAGAATGCTTCTCCAGCATAGCCATATAGCCTGAAAATCTACAACAACCCAAACAGAATTTAGCTAACAAGGGTATGTTATAAGACAATGCTACCTGCAACAGCACCAGTCTCTGGGCCATTGGCTGCCTGTCCCAGGTAGGTGTCCAGAAAAGAAAGAAGCAATTGTAGTCTATAAGCACAATTATGATACTGCTGTTTGTACACAATAATTACTAGTTCTTCACATCAGATAGCTTGTGAAGCGCTGGACTAGAGGCTATATTCTTAGGGCGCTTTTACACTACCCAATTATAGTACTATGGTTCCACTTCAACTGCCCTGCCATGGTTCCATCCCATAGGGTTTGTAGTCTGGTGAGGCATTGGAACATGCTGGCTGAGGACTCTCAATGCTTCGCCTTAAACTGCAAGTCCATGGCTTCTATAGGACAGAACCATGGGAGTTAGAGTAGAGCGATAGAACTACAATTGTATTGTGTGAAGGAACCTCTATCTTTCAGAGGCTACTGGGTGAATGCTATTTACTGACATGACACACCTATCCCTCAAAAAAAAAAACACAAGTGAGCAAGAGAACAGAGGGTATACTGGTTCAATTGAATAAGAGTTCATGAGACCATCCACTGACCATGATCAACTCACACTCAGTTAAATAGGATGGTAATGGAAAACCTCCTCTGAATAAATCATACCAAGAAAACCCAATAACAGAGTCAACTTGAAGACAAACAGGTGTTGTTCCTGATACCTAGGGATAAAAATAATTACTGGTGGCTCATATCAGATAACCTTACAAGCAGTGCTATAAGATACAGGTTTAGCCATTAGTATATATGCATAGTATTTCAGTTTTTAAAAATTTCATCATTAAAATTAATAGGTTATTTATATACATATACACATATATCCATCAATTCAAAACATCTAATTCTGGAATAGAAATCAATGTGATTATGATTTAAATATAACTGTTTTATGTTTTGTTTTTTCAGCTCTTTCTCTCATACCACTCGATACATCAGAATTAAAAGACGCTGTAGTATTCCTGACAGAACAATGGCAGTGCCGTCCAACAATACAGCACTGAACTTGCTCCTTTCAAAACTGCTGGAAGACTTTGTAGCTAAAACAAACCACCCCACGCCTGCACCAGTCACAGCAACCAGTGACCACCTGGAAGTAGTGTTCATACTCTTGTTGTTCTGCTTCTTTGGATTCTTTACATTTGGAGTCATGCTAAGCTATATCCGTTCCAAAAAGCTTGAACATTCGCATGATCCATACAATGTGTACATTGCCACAGACAGTTGGGGCAAGAAAGATCAAGCTAACCTTCAAGCCAAAGTGGTAGAAAACTATAAGTCATGTTGTGTATTGAAAAACCAGCATGCAGTGGAGCAACCAAGCAGTCACCTTCCAGAAGCAACATCTTCACCGTAAATCAGCAATTAATTTTGGCTGCGACATTGATAGCCAGGGTTGATTTGGCTGATCTGGCTGGCTAGGCGGGTGTCCCTTTCCTCCCTCACCAGTCCATATGCATCCCTCCCGAAGCTACGCACTCGGTGGAAGAGGACAACGTCCCAGGTATAGAAGAATTAATTTTGTGGGCGTCATGCCAAATCTTCAGAAAGCTCCAAAAGAGAAAGAGAGAAGATCTTCGACTATCATCATCAAAAGAAAAATGACAGAACACTAGTAGTCATTATGTACTCCCTGAATGCATGATCATCCATTTATGTTGGAGATGATAAGAGTTATAGTCCAAGACGTCTTGAGGGCACCAACTGGGGAGGTGCCCTAGTTTAATGAAGGAAATGCACTTACTGGCATAATGAAGGCTTGCCTCCAATGTATTGTGAACAATTGTTCTGTAACATTGCTATTGTTTCTAGCTAAAGGATCAACTAGCATCTACTGCCATAGACATCTGTAAGATAAAATCTGCCATGGTTTCTTCCAGATAAATTTGGGGAAAATATAAACCAAACCTCAGTTCGCAGACTGATCCTTAATAACATTGAGGAATCACTGTGATAGCAGTCAATTGCTCCAGTGAACGTAACAGACCAGAGATGTTTGTTTTGATCTCACATAGTTTAGGTATCTTCATCTAACCAACTGTAAACAAGGATAAAGGAAGACCAAGTCAGCTTACTGCAATGTTGGTCACATATTTTCCTTGTATACAAGAAGTCATCTAAATTTGCTAGACTTTAACCACTTCAAATTGATGGTTTGGTTGAGATTAGTAGGGAAGGAATCATGAATGGCTATGCAGCTTCAAAGCAGGTTTCATGGAATGCAAAGGTGGAAAACACAGGCATATGTGAATACTGTGAAGGGGCATAATATTATTATGAAGGATCATAATAAATACACTGTAGAACAAGTGAAAGTATGTGTTAAAATATGTTTGAGAATACTGTATTTCTTTCTCGTTATTTATGCTTTAATGCTTTGTTCCTACTGTTTCAGAAAAGTCTTTGTCATACAACTTAACATATCTTCAAGCTTATGGCCAGAATCGTGGTGGGGAGGGTCACAAAAGTGATTGCCTTGGGGTCACCATACATTGGAAATGACTTGAAGGCACAATACAACAACAAAGCACCATAGTTGGAAATGACTTGAAGGCACAATACAATAACAAAGCACTGTTGCTATTCAGTGACACTCCCTTTGATCTAATGATGTCAATGGAGTATACAACAATCATAACTATCTCATGCAAATATCTAAGTTTTGCATCCCAGTTGTATGGTATCCTATTTATTAGCTTATGGTTGTGATCTTCAAAAGGCATTGTATTTGAAATGAAAGGATATATATGGCAATGTTAAATCTGCTAAAGAAATCATGTGGTCCACACCCATTACAATCAATTGCAAATTTTCTATGAAATCCATAGAATGTAAATTGCACCAAAAAGCACTTTAAAACAAATCTTTCCAGTTACTTTTCAGACATCACACACAATTCTTATTATTCATTCACAGTTCCTCTTTTGAAATAGTGGAGTTTCCCTTCAGTATGAATTATTTCAATTTTGTCTATAATTTCTAGTTGCAATACAGATTCTTTTTTAAGAAAAATAATGGAAATCCATCACTTGTAAAGTATCCTCTATTGAGAAGTATGCACCCAGCTCATTTTTAAGGAAGTGAGAAGGGAATATATCAAAAGATTACAAATTAACCAGAAAAAAGGTGGTTAAATCATTGTTTGTCTCTTTAACAGCACAAATCAGCAGGTAAATGTTTTTTATGATATTCTTCCAAACTGCATATTAAATTGTGGAGCGTAGCTGGTTAAACATTAGCACTCCTACATAAACCATAAGTCCAGGTTGTATGCCTTCTGAATATAGTTCTTCCTTAATGGTGTGTGAATTTTTTAAAATAAAAAAAATAAAACGTTGATCACAGAAGTGTGGTGTCTTTGCTCTATCTATATAATTCTCCATCCCAACAATGCTATCTTGGCTATTGTCTCTTAATTCCTCATTTGACTTTATTCAGAAAGCCAGATTGCCAAGAGAACAAACCTTTAGGCATATTTCCGAAATGCTTTTTTAAATTTCCTGATTCCTTCTTCAACACTTACAGCACTTTGACAGTTAGATGGTGTCTTCTCCATATTAAAAAAAAACTTCCCCTTCCATGGAGTTCAGTATATGACTCCCTCTTACAATGGGCATTTGAGATGTGCTTCTAGTGTACATACCAATGTCATGATATGTAAGAGACGCTAGAGCTTGGAAAATTATTTGACAGCTTTTTTCCTTGTTAGGTGCAACGTGAGAAACTGCAAGTCGCTTCTGGTGTGAGAGAATTGCAAGGATGTTGCCCAGGGGATGCCTGGATGTTTTACTATCCAGTGGGAGGCTTCTCTCATGCCCCCACATGGGATGCTGTAGCTGACAGACAGAAGCTCACCCCATTCCCCGGATTCGAACCGCTGACCTTGAGGTCAGCAGTCCTGCCAGCACAAGGATTTAACTCATTGTGCCACTGAGGGCTCTATCCAATGTATAATTCTTAGTAATCCACACAAACATAACACACACCCAACCCCTTGTGACTTGTTGCTGATTACATATTTTTGTGTGTTTGCTCCCTGATACAACACTTAGTACTTTTATTTCAAATAAATGAGACCATAGCCTAAACATTTGAATAATGTCCCATGGAAATATTTTAACTCTCTATAATATTAGTTGTAAATGCTAGTTGTTACTCACAAAAATGGCAATGTTATAAGGCATGTTATTTGCAAAAGAACAGAATTTATATCTATGGAATCCTGCAAATTTGAAAATAGCAAAAGATTTTGATTTGCAAAGAATTCTAAATACTTAACCAAATTATAAGTCTCAGATTCCTCTGAACAGAACCATGACCGTTAAACTAGGATTGAACTGTTACAATAGTGTAGCATAGGTTCATTAAAAGAAATCAATTCTGGCAATTATCAAAGAAGCAGAAGGAACCTATTGTGTTGTTCATTTCTATCCTCCCACCGTAATTCCAATAATTGGCAACCCTCCTTATTATCCTGATAACTTGTTATTCTGCCCAGGACTCTGTGTTTGCCTCTTTATGGTGAAAATGAGGATTGGGGGTAATGAGAAAATGGACAGTCCAATCCTAGAAAAAGTGCAACTGTAGCCCCTGGTGGCGCAGTAGCCCTAGCTTCTGCCAACCTAGCAGTTCGAAAACATGCAAATGTGAGTAGATCAATAGGTACCGCTCCGGCGGGAAGGTAACGGCGCTCCATGCAGTCATGCTGACCACATGACCTTGGAGGTGTCTATGGACAACGCTGGCTCTTCGGCTTAGAAATGGAGATGAGCACCACACCCCAGAGTCAGACATCACTGGACTTAATGTCAGGGGACTACCTTTACCTTTACCTTTAGCCATTGTATCTTCTCGCAGTTTTTGTGAATGACAACAAAAATAATTTAAATAAGGAATACATATGAAATGTCAGCTAATACATAATACATATTTGCATGAGTGATATATTCAAAGTAAAATGAATGAATATCCTCCCTCTGAAAATGTAAAATATTGTGTACATGTGAAATATACAAACACAAATTTTTCCCTGTTGTGGAGTTTAGTTTTGCATGGGCACCATCTAGCGGTCGCATGAAGAACTAAGAGCAAGTCCTCTTGATCAACAACAAAAGTTCCTTATGTATCATCTCTGGTAACAGGAAGTGAAGCATAGGATGTGGATGACATTGCTTTTTGAAACGGAAACCTTAAAGACATAGTGAACTTTACATACTTACATTATGAGAGTATTCATTACTGGTCAAGTGTGCATTGGCCTTGTAGAATGTGTTATTGTAGCAGGGTAAAAGAGTCCAATATTTCTGCAAAGGGTTAACACTACAGCTAAGCATTGGGTTTAGAGTTAAAACTTGCCAATTAATGCTAACCTCTAGAATTACACATATGATCAGAAGGTGAAATTTGCAATGAGTCATTCAATCAGTTATAGATCTTTTGGTTGTTACAAGTAATACTTGGATAACTATGATAATACTACTAATACTACATTAATATGCAGCTGTGTGTGTATTTACCAAACACTATATTATTCATAATGTTATGTGAGAAAATGGATAGGTAAGGCATAATTTAATATGTCACATAGGACAGTTGGATCTAGTGTCTAGATCCAGGTAAGTCATGCTACCCCTCTATTCTGCCTTGGTTAGACCACACCTGGAATATTGTGTCCAATTCTGGGCACCACAATTGAAGAGAGATATTGACAAGCTGGAATGTGTCCAGAGGAGGGCAACTAAAATGATCAAGGGTCTGGAGAACAAGCCCTTTGAGGAGCAGCTTAAAGAGCTGGGCATGTTTAGCTTGAAGAAGAGAAGGCTGAGAGGAGACATGATAGCCATATATAAATACGTGAGAGGAAGTCATAGGGAGGAGGGAACAAGCTTGTTTTCTGCTGCCCTGGAGACTAGGACACAGAACCATGGCTTTCAACTACAAGAAAGGAGATTCCATCTGAACATTAGGAAGAACTTCCTGACTGTGAGAGCCACTCAGCAGTGGAACTCTGTGGTGGAGGCTCCTTCTTTGGAGGCTTTTAAACAGAGACTGGATGGCCATCTGTCAGGGGTGTGTTGAATGCAACTTTCCTGCTTCTTGGCAGGGGGTTGGACTGATGGCCAATGAGGTCTCTTCCAACTCTATGATTCTATGAAAAGTTAATTAGCATTTCTAATTCCATAATAGAGCAATAAATAGACAATTTAAGAGTATAAAATAAAATAATATCCAACCAGTCCAGTTTAGGAAGGTCAAACTAATCATCTCATTTTTCATCTGATTTTAAAATGTCCCAGTTCCTCTCTCCTCCCACATTCTCCCTTTGTCATCAACTTGCTTCAGTTACTGCAAAAAATCTACTTTTACACTTAAATTCAAAGTGCAAAAGCAATTTACTCAACACAGAGGAAGGTGATACAGGTTTGGGGATATAATCTGTGCAATTTAAGAACTTTGTGTATTGTGGAGTATGTGCGGATTACTGAGAGCATAAGCATTAGCTAGTTATTGGCATAAATATTAACCTAACTTTAAATAATGATAAGATGATGGGAAGAAAAGAAGTAACCTATAATGGGAAGATAGAAACCATGAGTTAACCACATATAATGAACCAAAGACAATCAGATGGCAGACAAAATTATAACATCATCTTGGTTGGAAGAAAGCAATGTTGATGAAAATGAGGAATAGCGAACATGTACAATCCGATTAGATAAAATGCACAAATGAAGTCAGCTGTCCATGGCAGTCTTAATACCAATAACTCTGTTTTTGGCTGATAAAGGCCATGCTAGAAAAACAACCCATGGTAGTAAGAGAGAATCTTTGCTCTTAAGCCAGTTAGATATGCTAAAGACTTATATCCCATTCTACTTCTAATGGATGCTGCTAGGTATACTAGTGCCCAAGGATAGTATCTCATGACTGCATGTTCCTCCATAAACAGATTCGGACACCTCAATATTATTTATGAGAAAAAAGTAGGATTATAATTATGATGATTGTATGCTTTGTTCCTCTAGGCACAAAGGTAGTTTCACCAGCTAAGAAAATGCAGAAGATATAAAACGGTAGTTCTTGCGTACTTATGTACTTGCAGTGTAATGTAATGAATGTATGATGTTTTACATGCAAAATAAGGTAATGAAAGTAATGTGCCTAGACAATTGAAAAGTCCCTAAGGGGAGTGAGTATGTTTGCATATTTATGACTGTGTAATAAACAGCCTAACACAGAGTTTGTTCATTCTTGCACTTAAAAGATTGTGGAGTGTTGATGTTAGCTCTGCCTGTTTGGAAACACAGAAAATCAGAAAGTGCTGAAAGAGACATTCAAACAGATTAGCTGTAAAACAGCAAGGAATTATTGATTTCTGCAGTCTAAAGGAATGGGATGGGAACTACATGTGTTTCACAGGGAAGGAGTAGGCAGATTCTTGACCTTCCCACTAGACTCAGGTAAAAGTTATCTCCTGCAGCTTGTTTTATTTATTTATTTATTTATTTCAGACATTTATATCCCGTCCTATCTCGATTTCCGCAGAGGGACTCAAGGCGGCTGACAACAAAAGCATAAATATACATCTTAGGTAAAAAATAGTATAAAACATTAGAAAAACAGTAAAACATTAGAACAATCACCAGAATTAAATCATCACCCTACACACAGTCCATCCGAGTCCATTAAACCATAGCTGTACCATCACAGCCAGGATTTCACCCTTTTCCAGAAGGTCAGGAGGTAAGGAGCAGATCTGACTTCACTTGGGAGGGGCCACCACAGAGAAGGCTCTGTCTCTTGTCCCCAACAACCGCGATTGCGATGGCAGGGCGACAGCGAGCAGGGCCTCCCTGGATGATCTTAAGATCCTAGGTGGTTTGTAGCAGGAGATACGTTCGAACAGGTAAACTGGGCCAAAACCATTAGCGGTTTTAGGCCAATGCCAGCACTTTGAATTGT